AAGGAAGGAAGGAAGGAAGGAAGGAAGGAAGGAAGGAAGGAAGGAAGGAAGGAAGGAAGATAGACCCCAAAGCAGAATGTTTCCAGCTAAAACCATGCATTTTTTCACAAAAGGTAAGCTAATTTGAAGATCCCAGGTCCATTTGGGGTCCCTTGACAACTTATTCCAAGGTATAAGCTTGGTTTGGAAGATCAGAGGTGTTCAGTCAATCAATAAACATTTATTAAGTTCCTACTATGTGCCAGAATTGTGCTAAACACTGGGGATACAAAAAAAAAGCAAAAGATAGTCCCTGCCCTCAAAGAGCTTATAATCTAATGGGGGAGATAACTCATTCAAAGACACTGAAAAGGGAGGGGGAAGGAAGGGAAGGTACCCAGCATGGGCACATAGTAAGATCCTGTGGTCAGGTGGGAAATGATGAGGTTTCTATCCTGGGCTCCCTACTTAAATAAAGGAGCTGAGAGGAGCTCTGCAATGTCTACCTCCACCCTCTCCAATCAGAGGGAGAAAGTGACCATGGGGCAGGAGGTAGTGAGGAGGTTTGAGTTTCATATTTGATGAAGGAAAATGCGTTTCTTAAAACAATGGAAAAGTCCAGTAGAGCAGCCAGGTGAGAAGTGGATGAGGTGTCTATGCTGGGTCTCCTCCTTAAATAAAGGATCTGAAAGGAGCTCTCTGATGTCTACTCTCCACCTTCTCCAATCAGAGCTACTCATCTAGGTCTTCAATATCCTCAGTATCAATGTGGTTTGAAGAAACAAAGAAACAGGAACAGTCTCAATAACAGAGACTAATATTGGGATTTTCCTCCCCTCCTCCCCCCCTCCCACTTCCTCAAAGACTTTCTCTGAAATTCTGTGGTCATGAAATGGATAACTTGGAGACAAATTTGGGTTTCAGGATTGTGTAATGTGGGGAGGTGGGGGAGGGGGAGGGAAAAGGATATTTGGCTGATAATCCAACATCTAATTATCCAGGTATTTTCCTTGCTCCTGGCAAGCTGCCCGCAAGTGAAAGCACTTTGAAACCTGCAAACTCCACAGCCTGACATGTTCTCCAATGAAATTCTTTCCATTCATTATGCTGCCTGCCTATGGTGTTACTCATAAGTTGGGAGGCCAAGAGCAGGAGCACAATTATTTTATTCAATTACGGTTCTGATGTAGGCTTCTAACACGCCTAAGCCAGACTCTTGTTAAAAACTTCCACAGCTTATCAGACTTTTGTGGAGTCCACTCAAGGGAGCCTAGGATCTTATTTTCAAGATTGAGACCTAATCTAGCCTGAAGAGTGTACACACCTCTCAGCCTGAAATAAAGCCATAATTCTGTGAAAACACAAAAATCCCCTTTCCTTGGCATTTTCCCCCCTGCGGACAGAAAGCCTCGGGGTAAAGAAGTAGATTTGTTTTTAAAAATTCATGCTTAACAAAATGAAATTCAGGGCACATTGAGGAGAAATGTAGCAGAGGGTTTCTTAGCCACCTGGAAGTAAGAGTGGATCATACAGAAATGTGAAGCAGATCAAACAGAGCAGGCTGCCATTGGGGACACCCCTCATTGGAGGTCTCCAAGCAAAGGTGGGATAGTAATTGTATCATAGATTAGAGCTGGAAGGGACCTTGGTGACCATTTTACAAATATGGACTTGGGTACAGTGGAATACCCAGCTATAATCCCTGCAAGGATGAGGCTAGTAGATCTCTAAAACTTGGGAGTTCTGAGCTACACTGTTGTTCAGTAATTTCAGTTGTTCCAACTCTCCATGACCCCATTTGGGATTTTCTTGGCAAAGATGCTGGAGGGGTTTGCCATTTCTTTCTCCAGCTCACTTTACAGATGAGGAAACTGAGGCAAGCAGGGTTAAATGACTTGCCCCAGATCACACAGCTAGTAAGATCTGAGGCCAGATTTGAACTCAGGTCTTTCTGACTCCATACCAGGCACTGTACCACCCTAGGTGACCCCTGAGCTACAGTAAACTAATGCTATCTAGTGTCTGCCCTGAGTAAGCTTCAATATGGTGAACCCCAAGAAGTGGGGGAGATGAAGAGGCAAACTAACAGAGACCAGAAATGGAGCTCCTCTGCCAATCAATAATGGGATCTGTCTCATGACTGGGAGACTCAGTCTCAAAACAAAAACAAAACAAAACCAGATGAGAAAACTGAGGCACAGAGAAGTTAAGGAGTTAAGCCAGGTTCACACAGCTAATAAGTGTTATGAGGTGAAATAACACTTGTCAGATACATAGTAGAGGGAACTTTAATTATTCATTGGACTAGATGAAGGTCCTTGATGTCCCTTTCAACTTGCAAATGTGGTAGAGTAAGTTTGAGGCCTTACCACCATCCCTTTCTCCCTTTAAAATAATTTCATTTTGTCTCCACCTTTCCCCATTCACACTTTTTATCCTCAACATGTTCTATCCCTTCCTTCCTAACCTCCCCATCTCTGACCCAAATTATCATTGACCTGTCCTGGTTTCTATCTTCTTAGGGTCCTTCTTTCTTAATGTTGGTGAGCTTACCTGATAAGCTCAACTATGCCAATGTGAGAATGGATGTGAATGAGTTTCAAGCACTTAATTCATTTGAACAGAACCTTCCACAGACAGATCTTGACCACAAAGAAGTTACTCTAAGAACTTCTGGTCCAGTGGCAGGCAAAAGAGTTGTCAAGTCAACAGGTATTTATTAAGTGCTTACTATGTACAAAACACTATGCAAAGCACTAGAGATACAAAGAAAGGCAAGAAGCATTCCTTGCCCTCAGGGAGCTCAAACATGCAAACGGCTATGTTTTTTTGTTGTTCAATCATTTTCTGTCATGTCCGTCTCCAGAACAGTTTGCCATTTCCTTCTCCTGCTCATTTTACAGATGAGAAAACTCATCTGCAAGGGTTAACTACAAACAAAATATATACAGTATTAAAATGAAGATAATCTGAGAAGGAAAGGGGGGCTGTGAAAGGCTCCTTACAGAAGGTGGGGTTCAAGATGAGGCTTGCAGGAAGCCAGGGAAGCCAAGAAGCAGAGATGAGAAGGGAAAGGATTCCAGACATGAGAGACAGCCAGTGAAAATGAATGGAGTCAAGAGAAGAAAGTGTTTGCTTGAGGATCTGCAAGGTGGGCAGTATCACCAAATCATTGAGTACATTGAGGAGAATAAAGTATAAGAAGGCTGGAAAGATAGTGGGGAGTGTAAGTGTTTCAGGGAGAAGAAGGCCTTTCAGCACCTCTTAAATCATAATACTTAGGCTATTTTCTACTCCACCTATGCATAAGGTCAGGATTCATACCCATCTCTAGCATAATAAGCCCCCTTGTTTAAATTATATGACCACACTGTGTCCTTCTAGTGTTAATGGCAATTGTGCAAGCTTTAGGAGCTGCCTTAAAAGACTTGAATTGATTAATTCTACTGCAATCCTCCTGGATGATGCTTTTTCCATTTCAAAGCACTTTCATACATGTAGGCATAAGATTAGAGGATGATTGATTTAGAGTTGAAAGGGCCCTCAGAGTTTGTCTAGTCTAACACCATTATTTTACAGATGAGGCAACTGAGGCCCAGTGATTTTAAATGACTTCTACAAGATCACAGAGAACTGGGTTTTGAAATTCAGTTGTCTGTGTTCAGAAGTAACACTCTTGACCCTATACCATGACCTTTCCATAGCCCTGTAAAGTAGGTAAGGTAGGTAAGCCAAGCATCCTCATCTGAAAGCTCAGGAAATTGAGCCTCAGCAAAGTAAACTGACTGGCACAAAGCCACACAGAAAGCTAGGGGTAGAATTGGGACTATAACCTAGAATTTCTGACTTCTACATAGAATCTCTTTCTACCACAGCCTACCACTTCACATAAGGAAAAGAAAGCACCCATGCCCTACGTCTAGGCTTAATTGGTTGCCAGCAATATGTAAAGTGAGCTAGGTCAAAGGGTGGATGTCCCAAAGAGAAGAGACTTTAGGGAGTATAGGATCATAAGATCATAGATTTGGAACTGGAAAGGACTTCTTGTCCAACCGTTTCATTTTACAGGTGAGAAAACTGAGGCTCAGAAGGGTTAATCATAATAGTAGCTAGAATTTATATAGGGCTTTAAGGTTTGCCAAGTGCAAATATGTATATGTATATATACATATATATATACATATATACACACATACATGTATGTATACATATTACATTATATTATATATATGTACATATACATATATATAATATGATCCTAAAAAAAAAAAGCAATCTTGTAAGGCAGGTGTTATTGTTATTCCCATCTTGCAGAAGAAGAAACTGAAGCCAAGAGAGGTTAAATGATTTGCCCAGGATCATCCAGCTAATAAGTATCTGAGACAGAACATGAACTCACATCTTCCTAACTCCAGGCCACTGCATCAAGTTACTTACCAAGAAGATGATGGGGAGAGAGAATTATGAATGACCAGAGCTGGCAGTTCAGGTTACATTCAAAGCTCAACGGGCTGTCCTTGCAGCAGATGACCCTGTTGCTTTAATTCTGGGCCATCTGGGTCTCCCCTAAACAGCAAATTTGTCATAGTCCAGTTTTCTCAGTCTGGGCCCTGATGACCTCATACTGTTAAGATAACAAAGCAGGAGTGAATTGGTTAAAAGCAGCACTCTAAGAAAAGAATGAGTCCCTTGTGAAGCAAGAATCGTTATTGAACAGGTCTCTACCTTGTTACTTAATGTCTTGCCTGCCAAGAACCTGATTCAAAAATGTGGGTTATGTAGGATTTCTTCATTTCATAATTCTTTCATAAGCATTTCTTTTGTGTGAGGAGGGTAATTCCCCTGTTTCCGAGTTGCAGGCCCTCTTACACAATGCTCTTGCCTTGTGAATGCTGGCTTTTTGGTGTGCAGGTCAGTGGAGTGTTGGGTGGGGAGTGATGAGGAAGCTTGCTTTGGCCTGCCAGGGACCAACATTCATACTCCATGAGATCATCTAGGCAGCAAACAGGGACACTGTCCCACAGAGCCTTCCTCTCTGGGTCCTTGAGCTGTGCCCAGAGACCAGAGGAGCGTGGAAAGGCTGGACACTGTATTAAAAAAATCTTCAAGGCTGGAGCCAAGGACTTGAGAAACAAGTATCTTGATGGTCCTTAAAGTTTCGTTGAAATTCTTTCCATTGGAAAGTTGTGACAACAAAGAGCTGGCCTGAGAATGGACTTTCTCAGGGCCCTCTGACATATAACTTAATGTTAAAAATCCCAAACAAGAAAAAATTCATACCATCCTTCCCTTCCTCCCTCTCTGATGTATTCTCTTCCTCCTCTCTACCTCTATCTCTCCATTTTCCCACCTCTCTCTCATTCTGACCCTATATCTCCACTGAACTTATGAGGCCCCCAACTCTTCATGTTGAGTGCTTCATATTTCAGGTGTTATCTGAAATCCAGGGGACTATATAAATTCCCTTCTCACGTCCCATCAGGGAACCACCGTGAAAAAGTATCATTGGCTTCACCTCTCAGGCCTGCTGACCTCCTCAAGGTGACTGCTTTTGCTTGGTGGTACATCTAGCTCTTGGAAGCAGCTAGGTGGTACAGTGGATGGAGTGCTGGGACTAAAGTCAGGAAGACTCATCTTCATGAGCTCAAATCTGGTCCCAGACACTTACTAGCTGTGTGACCTTGGGCATGTTACTTAACCCTGTTTGCCTCAATTCCCTCATCTGTAAAATGAGGTGGAGAAGGAAATGGAAAATTACTTTAGTATCCAAATTGGGGTCATGAAGAATCAGACCCAATTGAAAAGCAACACAATAACAACAACAACAACAATATTTAGCTCTCTGGGGCAGCTAGGTGGCTCAGTGGATAGAGCACTGAACCTTCAGTCAGGAAGACCTAAGTTCAAATCCGGCCTCAAACACTTATTAACTGTGTGACCCTGGGCAATTCACTTAACCTCTGTTTGCCTTAATCTACTGGAGAAGGAAATGGAAAACCACTCCGGTATCTTTGCCAAGAAAATCTCATGGACAGTACTGGCATGCTATGGACAGAGTCACAGAGTTGAAGCAGTACTCAACCTGACTGAACTCCAAAAGGAGTCTGAAGCAAGGGACAAAGATCAGGTAGAGTTGTGTTTCTCCTAGATTACAAGCTTCTTGGGGCAGGCAGCAAGAGTTAGGGGTTGACCAGACGCTATTGATTAGCAGGTAAACTCAAGAGCCCTTGGAGTAGCAGTGTCCCCCAGAACAGAAGGATCAAACACTTGGGGCCAACACTCTCTTGCTGTGGGAATCAGATGAAAATGTAATTGGGAAATAATTACCAAAATAAATACAGCAGTCAGGGATCCTTATGTAGGGATTAATGACCTCCATTCCTATATGAGTGTGACACCATGGCCCCAGAACAAGACCTTGATCCCCGTCTGGCCACCATATTCGTTGTCCAAGGGTGTGATAGTAAATGATTAACATCCAGGTCTCTGATAAACAAAAGGTAAACAAGACACATTTTTAGGTTTAATCTGCATTGTTAATATTTTCTCCATCACTTTCTTAAGTCTAGACAAGCAACAAAACAATAAATCAAGGCCTGATTTGTAGCTCAATTTTGTGGTGTAAATGGCTCACAGCTGCTTGGAGGCAGTTGATTAGAACAGTATCTAGTCCTGGAGTCAGGAAAAAAAGTGAGTTTAAAGCTAGCCACAGACCCTTAGTAGCTTGTGTGACCCTGGACAAGATAGTTAAGTTCTATCTGCCTCAATTTCATTGACTCTAAAATGGGGATTATAATAGAATCTACCTCCAGGTAGATAAAATGAGATGATATTTGTAAAGTGCTTTGCACAGAGCCTGGCACATAGCAGATACTTACTAAGTGCTTATTCTCTTTCCCACCTCTCCTTCCCTTCATACTAAAAGCTTAGTTCCCAGGGCCTGCACATAGTTAAATGTTTAATAAATGCTTATGGACTGATTTTTCTCTATTTTGCCTGTCATTCATTCAACATGCTCCCTCCAGACTAGACTTCTTAAGATTTTTTGAGTGCCTTCACAGGGCAATTTGGGGAATGGGGTATCAGTTCCTTAAGTTTATCTTACTACTGGGCAACTCATTTCACCTTGGATCCTTTCTTCCGCCTATACCAGTGGGATTGTAAGATTTAAAGCAGAAAAGAAGCTTAGAAATCTAAATAACCCCCATTTTACAGATGAGGAAACAAAGACCCAAAGAGCTTGGTGACACGCCTAAGGTCACATAGGTCTGGCAGGGATTCACACCAAGGTTCTCTGTTGCCATATCCACTGTTCTTTCCACCATCACTCAATCAATGCCTCTAGTAAAAATTGTTTTATTGCATTCTTTAGATGGAGGAAGGATGCACAGAACACTTTATACCCAGCCTGTTGGCTCAGTGGGTTGGGCCACAGATGCTATCAGCAGATAGCTCACATTTACACTTTGCTATAAGGCTTACAAAGGACTCCAGACAAAGGGGCTAAGGAGGCCAATTGAGGGTCCTGAGTTGGAGTTATGTGTGACTTGCTTGGTTTTTCCCAGAAACCAAGGACTACCCCTTTCCATCCTGGCACAGAGTCTGACTGTGCTGGCTCTGCTTCCTGTAGCTGTCATTCAGGCCCCCACAAGCACTGCCTCTGGGACTCAGCTGAAGCCAATCCTAGCACAGCTGCTGACTCAGACATCAGCTGCTTCGGGAGAAGATAAAGAATGGGTTGGTTCCATGGTCCAGACAGCTTCGTGATGCTGATGAAAGAATATCTCTGTGACCTTGCACACCCAATAGACTGATAAGGGATCCTCACTTGACCAAAGCACCTTTTCGAAGGAAGAAATCATTGATTAACAGATTGGGCTTTGCTGAACAGAGGACAAAGAGAGGGCTGAACTAATGAATTAGCCCTGGACTTCAGTTTACTCATCTACAAAAAATGAAGCTGTTGGATTGAACTGTTTCTAATGGTCCTTTCCAGCTCAGATGGTTTATGATTCTGAATCCCTTGTAAGAATCCTCAGCTCTTGACTCTGGAATTCTTTTCCCCTGTCCTTAGAAAGAGATGACATCATGAAAGTCCCAGAGTTGTTTAGAATGTTCCTTCCCCCTCCCCATACCCCAAATGCTTTTCTTTCCTTGGACCCCATGGGAGCTACCAAACGGAGTGGAAATGCACTGGGTCACTTTTTGTTTTGTGGGGAAGGGGGAGAGGGAGTTGACACCACCCCTGCCACTAACAAAGCCTGAAATTCCAGTTTTCCAAACAGGAAAATGAGCTATTAATTTGCTTAGCTTTGAACGAAATACCCATTAATGTGAGCAATTATCTTCTCTTAAAATCAAAGCACGAACGACAAGAAAACAAACAACTCAGGACAAAGGAGATGCCCTTGCTTTAGCAAGTTCAGTGAAACAAGTACATTTGGAAAGAATATAGATATACAATTCAGTCACCATGGAATGACCAGGGCTTATTCCTTTTATTTTGTCCTGAAGCAGGCCTTTTTATTCCAAAAAGATATTGAGTGTTCATGCCTAATACCAAGTACAGGGAGGGGAATAATTCCTCTCCTATCTACGTCTTGAGAGTACTTTCAAATCTCCTTTGGTGTTTGGCACTGTTTCTTTAGCAGAGGGGAATTCCCCTCTGTATGTATGTATGTATAGAGGGAGGAAACTCCCTCTATTAGGGCAGGGCTGGTCTAGTCTTAGAAACTAGATTAAATGACTTGTCTAGGGTCACATAGCCAATGTGTCAAAAGCATGACTTGAACCCAGGCTTTCCTGGTTCTGCTTGATATGGATCAAGGTGTCACAAAGTTAGCAGAGTTATGGAGTGAAAAGTGTACTGAATTGGCAATCAGAAGAGACCTAGGTTTAAATCCTGTCTCTGATAGTTATGTTGTTCAGCAAGTCTCTCTAATTCTCTAAACTTCAGTTTCCTTAATAAATTACAAAGAAAATGCATTCTGACATTTGCCAGAGTTTATTCCTGGAGGAAAAAGTGTCTTTTTCATACATTTCAATTCAACAAGTGTTTATTTAAGTATTTTTGGATCAGACTTTTGATTTGATTGGTGTAGGAGTTCTCTCACAAATGAAGAAATGCCTCCTAATGCAGGTGGGCACCTGCTGTACAGGTGGGGCCACCTAGAAATCAAATGACTACCTAGGTCCCAGGTCAAGATGTGCCAGAGGCAGGAGACCTCCTGGATCTCTGTTTAAAAAAATAGCCCACCTATTGTGTGTTGTAGTACAACACACTCTGGTGCTGGAGTCAGAAGACCTCAGTTCAAATGCTGTCTCTCTCAATTATATGTGTGAATTTGGACAAGTCATGTAACTTCCCAGAACTTTAATTTCCTCATCTATAAAATAAGGAGGCTGTACTAAGATGTCTTCTAACATCCCTTCTGTATTTACATTTATTATTCTCTATTCTAAACACAGTGCTAGATGCTGGGGATTCAAAGATAAAAATGGAAAAAGTGCCTGTCTTCAAGGAGCTTACCTTCCACATGTATACAGATAAATATAAAATACATACACACAGTAGTTTGGGGAGCAAAGGAGAGAATTAACAGGAACAGCCTCAGGAAGAAGTTGGAACTTG